CTTTACACAATTGATGTGTGTATGGATTGGGATAACAGTTGTATGAGCCCCTAATAAAATGTTAAAAAAGGAAAAAAAAAAAGTAACATTGTTATCTCTTTTTTCACCCATTTTAAATTTAGTATTAATATTTTCTGCTTTCATTTTGATTGTGGTTTTTCTCTTTTTGTCATTTTTTGGGGGGTTGTGTGTGTGTGTTTCTTGGTCTTGTTTTGTATGTTTTTCTGTATGCAAAATCCAGGATAAGTAAATCTGTAGAGATGGTAACTGGATTAGTAATTACTTGGGACATGGCAGAGGACACTGGGGAGAATTGGGGCGCTAACAACAATGACTACAAGAAGAAAATGTTCCAAAATTGATGTGGCGATGACTACGCAATACTTTTTTTTTTTTACTTTGCAAAGCACTTTATTAGCTCACATCTGTCCATTCACATGAAACTCACACAGGCCTTGGGAGGCTCAGAGTGACTCTCATCATGCCCTTCCCTTGATGAAGCACAGGTGGGTTCTGTTCCTTGCCTGGGCCACCCAGTCGGCTTTCTGGGCCTGTGTCCCCCCACCTGTGGAGCTCTCTAGTGTCCAAGGCAGCAGGGTCCCAGGTGAGATCAGAATGCCCCTCCGTCACCTCCGGGTCACCTCTTTTGCTCCACCGGCCCCTCTCCACCCCTCAGGTTGGTGCTCTCAATTGACAGCTCTCGGCCCCGCAGGCTCCCAGACCTTCCCAGGCCAGCTGAGGGTGAGCAGAGATGGAGGCAGGCAGCCTGGGCTGCAGATGTGAGGGATGTGGGGCCAGGCCCGGAGAGGTCTCTCCTACACTGTGACCGTCTGCACAATACTTCTTAATATGACTGAACCATTGAATTGTATGATATGAATTATGTGCCAATAAAACTATTTAGAAAAAAAAAGACATGCTGGGGCATGTGCTGACTTAATAGAAGACACTCTACTGACAAGACACATGAAACTATCATTAGTGCCCTGAGCTGGAGGAGCCACGTGGAGACCCTGCCAGCGCTGAGATTCTCACAGCGCCACTGGATCCAAAGACTTCTACCTACTGGCCTGTGATCGTCCTGCATTCAGCATCATTGCATGTGTATCGTGAGTCTGAAGAGGACTTTATAGATGGGTATCAGACATATGGGCTAATATCACACTTATGGGCTTGGACTGGACTGGGTTGGGATACTTAATGTACAGTTACACTTTATATAAAACTCTGTCTTATATACATGAGTTTCTGTGGATTTGTTTCTCTAGTCTACCCAGCCTAACACATGCACTAAGTACCATACAGAGATTTCCTAATATTGAACCAGTCTCCAAAATTTGTATGAACACTTCTTCATTTGGTGTTTGGGGTGGGAGGGAGGGGGATTTTTTGGTAAACTATAACCACCACCCACCCTCTCAGTTGAAAGGCAAAAGGGACCATTATTTTTTACCCCTGAGTATATAGCGCTTCCTGACTAAAGGAAACATTTCTTTTTTTAGCTCTTTTTCAATTATTATTTTTAATTCTAGTAAGAATCAGATGGAAATGTGTCACTTATTGAATAGAACAATTGGTATCATCTCTCCCATTCTTATGCAATCCCGAGTTAACTGTTGCTCCCCTTCGGCTTCATGGGTCCCCATCCTGGTTCTTGCTACTCTGGCTGTCGCCTGTCCCTTTACCCAGAACCCCCCTTGTAAACTAAACATGACAGAGTCCTGTGTGTGCTTGGTGGAGCTTCACTCATTCTACAAAGTTTATCTCTGCCTTTGCCTTTCTTAGCTTTGTGCTTCCAACTAACTTAAAGCAGCATATGTCAGATGCCGTTTCATATAGAGAATCTGAGCCACAAAGGGTTCCCTGAGCGGATTTTCTTCTTTTTTTATCATTTTATTAGGGGCTCATACAACTCTTTTTTTTTCTTTTTTGAAAGGCACTTAAGACAGCATTTATTTCTCCCAATGATGTTTCCATCATAGGATATTTCTATCATTCCTGTAGGAAAGGTAAAACTAACCCAATATCTTGCTCCCAAATACCTAAGGGCTGGCTTTGGGACTTTCTCTCTTCCTTTTTTTTAAATCATTTTTTTAGGGGCTCATACAACTCTTATCCATATATACATCAATTGTGTAAAGCACATTTGTACATTCATTGCCCTCATCATTCTCAAAATATTCCCTCTCCACTCAAGCCCCCAGCATTAGGTCCTCATTTTTCCCCTCCCTCCCCGCTCCCCCCTCCCTCGTGAGCCCTTGATAGTTTATAAATGGGTATTTTGTCTTTCTTTTTAAGAGAGAAAAATATACCAAGTTTTTGTGTCAATCGTAGATTTTTATTCATGAAGCCAATGATTTGTGCCATCATTATTAAATACCAAATCAAAAGTCTAATAAACTGATTTAAAGTCTCAGTCTGCATTTTGTTACATTCATATTTACATACTGTAAAACATGACTTTATTCCAAGTGTATCTGAATATGTCATGGAATACTTATAAGTTTAAGAGGTGTTATGTATAGTTAACCAGGTATTATGCACTACACCAAAACCTGGGCAGCATGAATTTCATTAAATTATCTAAACAACAAATGTTGGAGAAAGTACCTGGGGGTAGAAGAAAATTGCCAAAAAACATAGAGGTTTTATGTAGTAGATCTTCAAAAATGAATTCATTTATAGGGAAATTGAAACTAGTGCTAGGAAGTGTGGTGAATAAATCAGATGGTACC